CGACATAATGATTGACTTGCTTTTCCACTTTTTATCTTTCAGTGCGGCGAGCCGGCGACACTTTTGAAAAAGCAAAGGAAACGACAAGAGTGCGGAGCCAGCGGCTATTTCTTTTTAATTTCTGTTTTATTTTTTTCATTTTTTATTCCAAAATTTATGCTAAGCACTGTTTGTCTTATAAAATGTCATTTTAATAATTTTTTTATAATTTATATCTCTAGTATATACGAAAAATATAATAAATAACTTATTTAATTGTACAATTTATTAGTTCGTACGTATTAAAAAATATAAAAAAACATGATCATCAAAATATTTTTAAAAAAAAGCAAGAAATTTTTCTGTTTGGAATTTATTATATATCAATTTAAATTCAAAAATTAAAAAAAACATGTTTTACTGAATTCTTTGACATTTACCCTATTTTCCAATCCATGTAACTTACAAGTTACAACTAATATTAGGATTATTATAACAGGCAGGGCTTTTTGTTTTACTCCTCTAATTCTATTTATAAATTACTTTCAGTATATTTCACACAGATCAAGAAAAACTTTAAATTTCATTAACTTTCATTTAAAATTCAACCACTTTCCAATTTTTTCTTATTTAATGTATTGTATATTATATCTCATATAAACAAAATCAACACAATAATAAATAAGGGGTAAAATTGTACCTCTATAAAAAAATTTCTCTCAGTACCTTATAAATCAAACCAGAGGAGTAAGTGATTAATTAGGAATAGGGGATGGCAAATCGTGCTTAACAGCTAATATTAGGATTATTATAACATGGGGGGCTCTTTACTTTGGTAATTAGGAATAGGAAATGCAAATTTTCCTTATTAACGTGGTGCCAGGGTGACCGGTGCATCATACTTTGACCCAACCTGAAAAATTCTTAAAAACATATTTTAGAAATATAAAAAAAATTTATTCATCAACGAAAAATTAATTCTAATAAATTTTTTTACACTTATTAAAAAAAGAAAAAGTTAGATGAAAGAACAATATAATTACAATAAAAATCATAATCGATGCGTTTGTTAAATGGTCAATGTTAATTGACTTAATGGCTGTAACATGTTTGCACCAATTTAAAAACATTTTGAATACTTTTACTCCAAAAAAAGTTTATGATATCTGGTTCCCCATCAAAGTATTTTATAAGTACATTTGCATTTTGACCCTTAGAAAAAATTTACTTGGAGGGAAAAAACCCTTTTTTTTTTTTGCCATCAAGAGAAAAAACTCTTTAATTTAATGCAACACATCATAAATGTAATTAACTAATGAATTTAAAAGTGGCATTTTTGCATCTTTTCCATATTTTGTAAATTTTCAATATAAAATTTTCAGCCTGATACAAGACAACTTGAAATTAACAGCTGAATTTGGAAAACACTTGTGGCTTGATTTTTTTTTATTTTTTGAAAAAATAATGAACAAATCTTGAGCTGGTTATTTATTGAAGCATCCATGATGGGGTGTATTTTTATTTTCTATCGAGTGACGATGTTGTTTAGTACATTGTTGTCAACTATGATATGTATCGAACATAATAATATTACGTCCCATGAAAATTTAAATTAGAGAAATTAAATTTTGGATTGGCACGTGTGAATTCCTTCTACATATGCCCCCTTGTATGATTTTTTTTCAAGTCTTTTAAATAGTTTTTTTTTTGTCAAAGTTTTTGAGAGTAATTTTAGAAATTTGGGGGTCTTATTTATATATAATTGATTTAATTATATGATTCCATTACCTCATTGACAGCATGAAATGGTATGGATTGTGAGATACTCACTTACTTTAAAAATCACAAGCCACTTTTAATTAATTTATACTTAAAAAATAATGAGTAATTTTTTTTTTTTTTGATTGAATAAGCCCAAACTTAGTGCACTACGTGCCTGCTTCTAAAGCAACCGACTCTAAAATGAAGCTAGGGGGGGGAATCAAAAAACACAGCACCAGGAGTGATCTGCAAAGCTTCCTTCGCAAGTGTATCAGCGACGGTGTTCTTATCACGGCTACACCACTCAATCCTTGTCTCCCAATCTTGACTCATCCAAGACCGTATCTCAGAGAGTAACTCCCCTTCTGGATGTGCCTCGTTCCATCTTGCCCCAAGGAGTTCGGTGATCTCCCAGCAATCCGTTTCTACAATAACCTTACGCCATCTCAGGTCCCAAGCTCTTTTCAAGGCCCAAACCACTGCCCAAATCTCAGCTCGAAGACTACTACCCCTTCCCATATGGAACATGAAGCCATGCACAAACCTTCCATCAGTCCTGCGCGCAATACCACCACAAGCTGTCGTGTTCCCCGCTAATGAGCAAGCACCATCTACATTAAACTTGATCCAGCCCACACAAGGAGCCTGCCACCCTTTTGCACCAGACTGCTCTAGATCCAACTGACAGAGTCCTGCATCTGCCCAAACTGTTTGTGCCCTCGCTTTGCAGATTACCCCTTGTGGCCCTATCGCCTTATCCTGGAAAACTCCTTCATTCCTGTTTAACCACACGTGTCTACACAAGATGGCAAACCAAGTGCTCCACGTGACCCCAGAGTACTTCTCAGTTTGAGACAGGTTCCATAGTAACCAACGTACAGGATCATCAAGACGAAAAAACTTCTCATGTAGCTGTCTAGGCACAGTTCTCTCCCAGCATGGTGACGCGAGGCTACAGTCTCTCAGAGCATGCAAAGTATCTTCCTTTACATTCTCGCAGAAAACACACTTATTGCTATGCACCATTCCTCTCTCCATTCTGGCATCGTTCGTCAGCGACCGTCCTCTAGCACATAACCATAAGAAAGTCTTGCATCTCTGAGGCACATGAATTTTCCATATCTTTCTCCAGACCCCCTTGTTCGAAAAGAATCTCTCACCACTCAGCATGCTATACGCAGCTTTAACTGAGAACTCTCCATTGCTCGACCCTTTCCAGACCGGTCTATCACAGGACTCCCCACGTATGTAGGGATACATTTGGTTTATGGTGTTCAAGATCGTGTTCGGTAGAAATTCTGCAAACTTCTCCCACTCCCAAGTACCAGAATCGGACACGTAGGTAGTGACACGGTCCTCCCACATACTCTCTGGGACTTCCCGGATCGCAAACTGCAAAAGTTTCTCATGGTTTGGGATCCAACAATCCTCCCAAAACCTAATCCTACTACCATCGCCGAGCTTCCAACCAATACCCTTTTGTGTCAGAGCCCACGTTTGCCTAACACCTTTCCAAGCCTGTGACTCAACCTTCTTCCTGCCAATTGTTGGAAGTATGTCATTACCGCACTTGTATTTCTCCCGCATAAGCTTCACCCAAAGAGTCTCTCTTCGATTTACCAAACCCCATCCCAATTTCATCATGAAAGCCTTGTTATGTTTCCTTGCACTCTGAAGCCCAAGGCCTCCCTCTTCTTTACTTCTGCAAACATCATCCCACGCGACCAGATGAATTTTTTTCGCCGAACCTGTACTTCCCCAGAGGAAATTCCTAGCTCGCTTGTCAATTTCGTCTAAAACACCAGCAGGCATCATCATTGATTGCATGGTGTATGATGGAATTGCCGCCACTACTGAAGACACCAAAGTATGCCTAGCTGCCATGGATAAAGCGTTCGCCTTCCAGCTTGACAATCTGTTATCCATTTTGTTTAACACATATTGATACGTCTGCTTGGTGACACGTTGGTGATGTAGGGGGACCCCCAAGTACTTCCCCAAATCTGTAGTGGGGGTAAAGCCGAGAAATCCACTAATCTCATTCTTTCGCGTGTGGTTCACGTTTGACGAAAAGAAAATCCTTGACTTAGCCTCACTTACTTTTTCTCCTGTTGCCGAGCAAAAGTCATCTAAGCAGGCTTTAATAACCCCGGCTTGCTCCATGCTTGCCTCCGTAAAAAGTATTAAATCATCTGCAAAAAACAAATGAGAGATTTCTGTGCCATTTTTATTCAGTTTAAAAGGAAGCCAGTTGCCGAGTTCCACTTTGGTTTGGATCAGGTGAGCAAGTTTCTCCATCACTAGTACAAAAAGATATGGTGATAAGGGGTCACCTTGTCTAATTCCGTAGCTTGGAGTAAATGAACACCCCCTAGACCCATTCCAAATAATCTGCATTTCAGCTGAAGTAATACAATGATAGACGATGTTCAAAAATCTGTCTGGGATCTTTAGCTCTTTCAAGCATTGGATCACAAAGTCCCAGTGAATCCTGTCATAAGCTTTCTCCAGGTCAATTTTCAATGCCATAAATCCTTTCTTCCGCTTCAAATTCCTCATAGAGTGAATAACTTCCTGTGCCAAGATAATATTATCAGAACTTTGTCGTCCAGGTACGAAACTACACTGGTTTGGGGCTATAATTTCAGGCATAATTCTCTTTAGTCTGTTAGTAAGAATCTTAGTAATCACTTTATACACCACATTACACAGGCTAATTGGCCGGAAATCCTTAAACGACTGTGGGGAATCCACTTTAGGAATAAGAGCGATATTCGTGCTGTTTATTCTCTTCACTTCTGTCGGGTTGGAAAAAATCTCACGAACCATGTCTACAACTGTATTCCCTACCACTTCCCATTGACTTTGGAAAAAAAGCGGATTCAATCCGTCTGGTCCTGGAGCTTTCAGCACCCCCATACTAAACACCGCTAGTTTGACTTCCTGTCTAGTAATATCTGAATCTAGCATTTCCAGGCAACTATTCCGAACAGTAGGAAAGCATCTCCCGAAGTTAACAAAATTAGAGTACGTAGTCTCACCCTGGTACAACTCCTGAAAGAATCTGGTTCCTGCTCTCTTCAGTACGTCTGGATCATAGCTCCAATTTCCATTCTCATCTTGCAGCGCCTCAATTATTTTCTTACGTCGTCGATAATTAGCGACTGTATGGAAATATCGTGTATTCTTGTCGCCATTCACATACCAGTTGCACCTCGAACACTGAAGCCACATAATCTCTTCCTGAATTAGACACCTTTCTAAATCTTCCCAAGTTTCCTGCCGTTTTCGCTCCAAAAGGGTGCTTTTAGCATCTTATTTAGCCGATCTAGTTTCGCTAGTAACCCTGCCTTCCTTCTATTAATATTTCCGAACACTGAACGATTCCACTCCAGCACGTCTTCTTTAAAGTTTCCCACGTTAGCTTCCCAGCTATTGGAGCTTCTCCAGGCATTTTTCACAACATCATTAAAGCCCTCATGGGTAACCCAGGGGGCAAAGAAGCGAAAGTGGTTTGTCTTGCCCCTACTTCTGCGTTGTCTGTTCATTTTTACCAGTAGAGGGCAGTGGTCAGATTTTAATTTGGGCAGGTGCAAGACCGAAGCGTCAATAAAGGTCTCAAACCACTCAGAGTTAGCAAGAACGCGATCTATTCTGCTGTACGAGTTCCCCCTGCTCCATGTGAAACGTGGACCTTGGAAGTCAACTTCATTTAAATAACAACCTCGAACCCAATCAACAAAGGATTTGTCAGCACCATTCAAGCCTTTGTTCGTAGGTACTCGTTCATTGCCCCGCAACGTGGCATTGAAGTCTCCAGCCACACACCATTTTCCAACACCAGTAGCATGTATGTGCTGAAGTTCTTCCCAAAGGGAGCGCCGCTTGATCCTATTCGGGTGACCATAGACTATAGAAAGATCCCAAGCACTTGTTTTGCCTATATTGAACGAGCCATGTAACACTTGTGATGACTTCTGGGTCACTGTAAAATCTACCTCTTTATCCCAAAAACACCATATCCCTCCACTGAATCCCGTTGTATCTACCACTTCTAGCTTGAGTCAACCCATTCGACGTGCCAGAGACTCTGCTTTTGCTCTCCCCTGCCTTGGTTCTAGTATAGCTATAAACTTCGCATCATACTTCCTGGGCAATTCATTGAGGAGCCTCGGAAAGGCCTTCCCTCCAACACCTCTTGAATTCCACACTATAATATTTGTATTCATCATAACAAACAGCATAAGGAAAGAACAAAGAGCTCGACTACTGGAAAGTCTCATCCTGGGTATGACCCAGGTCCATCATAGTTATACCACTTTGGTCGGCCGACAACAGGTTTGAGTGAACGAAGAAATTCCCCGCCTGCATTGCACCAGGATCTATCGGGTTCCCTGCTGTTTCTACGTCTTCTACCATTACGGTACCACCAGGTTTTGGGGTCCGAGTGTTCCCGTTTCTTGATTCACTAGACTCCCCTTCTATTATTTTTCTTACCGGTAGGTCCATTCCATTTTCTTGCTCTCCCTCCCTCTTAACTTCGTTCTCCAAGCCCAACCTCTCCTTTGCCCGCATGAGGATGTCTATGTCACTCGACTCCACTTCCTGAGACTTGGACCTACCATTACTACGTTCTCCCTTGTTATTCACTTCTTTAGCTTTGATCTCGTTTCCCATAGACTTTCTCATTGGCCCACTCATCTTCCCTTTATTCAGCCCACCTGACAAGCCCTTTTCTAAGCCTTGTCTTTGGAATGGTATATTAGGAACCAGATTCGAAATATTCCCGAGCGGACTTTTCTCGCTAACTTGTTGGGATCCACCATTAACTCCCTTATTCTGCTCCACATTCAATGCCTGGAAGCGAGAACCACTCCCTCCTTGCAGCCTAGAATCCCGCCTACCTTCATTAAGGGTCACCATCCGATGAGCGAACCGCGTCGGCCGTCGCGGTCGCTGCACCACCATCCAATTGTCGTAGATCTTTCCTGCCACCTCTTCTGATAGGTTTTCGCCCTGCTGACCTTCCTCCATGGCACCTCGGCCCCCATCCTTCTTCGCCAACTCCTCGGCCATCTCCCCCCCAAGCATTGGCTTTGCACGTTTGTGACGTTCTATTGTTTATGCGGGCAATGGTCTTCATCATGCCCATACCGTCCGTATCGAAAGCAAATCAGATGGATACCTTCGTACTGCACCCTCTTTGCCTTGCCATTTATGAGGATCAACGACCGAAGCGGTGCACTCAAATCCAGTTCCACACACAACCGTGCAAACTGACCTTTCTTTCGTTTAAGCGTAGTCATATCCATCTTGAGCACTTTTCCGACCTGAGATCCTAAGACATGCAGTATAATTAAGGATGATTGGCTCCTCAATTTAGAAACATATTTTGGAGTTATGATAGTAGAAAATATAAAAAAACAAAAATTAAAATAAAAAATCACAATTTGATGATGATTTGGTACTTAAATAGGAAGTTACGTTATGAGTCATAATTAAGGAAAATAAAAAAAACAAAAATTAGAAGAAAATTGGGAAACCCTAAGTGGAGTTTATAAATAGGAGAGTAAGGGTTCGATGAAGGTAGTCAGAATTTCCCAATAAAGAAAGCAGGTAAGGTAGAGAATTTTACTATCATCTTGTTTCATGGTAATAAGTTGGGTTGGAGAAAGAGAGAGGAGGTCTAACTAGAGAAAAATCCTTTGTTCATCTTCTTTTTTCTTCTACCCAAGGAAAGCCTATGCTCTTGTGATTGTTATCATGTTTATAAGCTAGAGCAGTGATGGCGAGAGGGTTGAATCCTATATGATTTTAGTTAATTCTCACTACTCCCCTTTTTTTTTTATTATTTGAAACATGCATTTATATATTTATCCTCCACATATTCTTCTTTTTTAACTTTCATTTTATTTTATTTATTCTATTTTTGATTCATGTCTCTTTACCAATATGTGTATATAGTTTTTATTTATTGGCTTATTATACAATGTATTTTGTTTAGCCAATTGATAAGTGGAGCATCAAGTATAAATTTTCATTCTTATCTATTATGCTTAACTTGAGTTTCATGTTGACTTTTTTTGTTGTGTTCTTTCTTTTTGTTTTCAAAAGTACTTCTCTTTTAAAATCTTTACCGTGAGGTTTTCAGAACTTTCACAGGTATTTAAATTCATTGGTAAACCGTCTGAGACTATGGGAGTTTCCGCAGGAATACCATTGTGGTTGTACAAATTTTCCCTTTGGAATAAAAAGAAAGAAAATAACTTTGGCACCATGTTTATAAATAAGTAATAGAATAGAAAATCTTTTTTAAATATGTACATATAATCTCAAAAATGTTTTTTTAGAGCCGTGTGAGTTTTTTTAGAACCTCCACAGGCTTAAACGATTATTCTCCTCTGTGAGGTTATAAGAACCTTTGCAGGGAGGGTAATCCAAAATTTCTTTCAAAAAATACTTTTAAAATAAAAGGACTTGTTTTCATATATTAAAAAATACAAACCCACCAACAACATTTTTTTATTTGAATAAATATTTTCTAAAAAATACCAACCAAGTGACACACATTTTTACCCTTGAACTACATGGGCTTTGATCCCTCTAAAGGGTACGTAGGCCCTAGATTCTTATCCTAGATCAAGCCCAACTTTATAAATAATTTATTCTTTTTGTTTTTGTAAATTTTTTTCTTTGTTTCTTTTTTTTAGGGTAATTAAAGTATAGTTAAAAAGGCTATATTAATTTTGAGTAGTCAACTTAGGGTAACCGTTTTCTTGAACAGGTATTGTAGGGTGCCTAATAACTTCCCTACACACAATCGACTCCCGAACCCTATCCAGTTTTCGTAGACCATATATTTTTAGGTTTCCAAAATTAACCTTTTAAAATTTTGGTGGTGACTCCTCTTTCTTTCCGTTTTATGGGATGACCAGGATCTAGGTACGACAGTTTGGCAACTCTGCTGGGGACATTTGAGAGTCAAGCCCATTTAAGTTGATTATTTAAAATGATATGGCCTAAATTATATTTTTATTACCCTTCTTTTATTTGTTTATTTATTCTTTATTTATTTCTTAGATTTATATATTACTTGATTTCTATTATCGAGTTTTTAATATTTGTTTCCTTTTTTTTATTTATTCTATGATCTGATTAGCAGATGAGGGTTGGGTAGAATCTAGGTCAATGGGTTTGTATGCTCTTCACACATACTAAACAACTACACTATCTACCTCACACACACATTGGGCCCTATACCTGGGTCTATGAGTAACTTAGTGAGCAGAAGTTTCTAACGGTTTCCCTGTAAGGTTTTCAGAACCGTTGGAGGTTACTGTGAAGATTTCATCTTAGCTGTTACCTATTTAATGGAGTTGATCCCTGTGGAACTTTTAAGTTCTCGAAGGGTCAACCTTATTAAATAGGGTCTTCATCTTTATGATGAGGGCAGCTAGGAGACCTTTGCCTGTGAGGATTAGAACAACCCTAAAATCAGTGTACTTATTAGAGAAAACTTAATGACCTACCTAATTGGTTAGTACATTCCTTTCATAGGATAAATCCCTAGCCTAGGATCCTTCCTAAAATAGGACAATGGAGAGCATATTCACTTTCTTTTAATGCATCATCATCATCATCATCCATACATAATTAATGTTGCCCTAGGATTAAGCGGCTGACTGTTGCTCCATCTGAGTATGTATCTCACATCATTCCGCATATAGATGCATCACGATGACAATGCATGCATTAGATAATTAACCTTAGTCTAAGGGTCTCCAACCCTAACAGATCATGACATCATCACATTCATCATTTTAGAAATATTCCCAGAAGGGATCAACTTTTAAGGCCCATGGCATATCACTACAGGATAGTCATTTAATATGGGCCTTGAACATAATAACTATTTATAAAATCTTTAGCTGTGTATTGGTCTGGACTATTCGCAAGTTAATGTGCACTTCATTCTCCTGTGAGGTATTAGGCCTTTGGAGGAGATGAAGTTCTTTTTTCTAATGTCCATAAACCATATTAAGACTTGAAATACATGTCATCATTCATACTACATGCATATTATTAATTGCATTTAAAGCATATCTTGGCGCTCCATTTTCTCTCCTTTCTTTTCCTTTTCCAGGAGGGTTGGCAAGTCATCCAGTAATTGTGAAAAGTTGGCATAGGGTTTGATGGCACAAGAATTGAGTTCAGATCAAGCTCCCACGAAAAGATATACAAAGGAAAGGGTATTAGGCTAGTTGCAGAAGTCGAACCGCTTGACAGTTTAGTGCACCTAAGCTGCTTAATTAAGGGTTCAATCAAGCTGGGCTTTAAGAACAAATACGACAACATCCCCAATCTGTTACAAGTATCGGTGTATAAGGAGGCTTTAATAGAATTAGGCCAGTATTAGGATGCCTCGCTAAGATGCTTCACATTCTCCAATTTCCAAATAACCCCAACTACTGAGAAGTATGGAGAGATCCTCAGGATGCCTATTCAGAAAGAAAGTCAAGTCTATTAATATCAATGGCATTTGCCTTCCCAAGGAGGGATAGCAAAGTTATTAGGAGTTCACACAAGTGAGATACGAATCATTTGCCCTGGACAAATCATGGGAATCGCCAAGTTGACGTGGAAGCTCGCTTGATACACCTTGCAATACAACAAGATTGGAAAAGCTTTTGCAGAATCTTTGCATTGGCCATTTACGATACCATCATTTTTCCTTTCGTCAGTGGGATTGATTGACCTTGGAGCCATCAGTGTCTTCCAATCAGTGGAGTATCATCAAGCCAATCCGATACCTACGATCTTGGCAGAGACTTACATGTCATTATCTCAGTGTCATATGAAGAAAGGCAGTCGGATGAGATATTGCCTCGTAATGCTTGATATATGGATGTTGAGCCACTTATACGGTAAGCAGTTGTTCTTCAGAAAGAGGGATGACAAACATCGCAATCCACTCATTTCATTCAAGAACTTACCAAGACTCAATGAAATGAATCAGAATGAGTGGAAGATGACCTTTTCATAGTTGACAGAAGACTCCTTTTTGTGGAAGATAGATTGGTAGGAAGGCAACGACGTCATCTATTGTTGCGGGGAGTTTCCAAATGTGCCTCTCATGGGACCTAGAGAGTGTGTTAATTATAATCCCTCTAGCACTAAGACAGCTAGCATTTCAACAAAGGGTTCCTTCTGAGAAAGAAAGGTAGGCCATATACCTTCTCCATGAGAAAGATGACACAAAGGTGATGTGCCAAAGAATTAAAGAAGCCTGGGGTAAGGTGATGTATAAGGGAAAGGCTGAGCTTGGGAAACAAGAAATAGGTATAACACAAGACTATAACGTTTGGCTAAAGAAAAGAATTGAGAGGGCTAATCCTGTTTATGCCTCTCAAGATCCCTTATTAGCAAATGATGCCCAAGTAGTGAACAAAGAGTTGGCAAAGCATTTAGAAACAAGGGAGTGAGAATTAGAAGAGCTTGCTGAGATAGACTGAAGAACCAAACAAAATCTAAGCCACTTGGAGAATGAGTGCACTACTCTTCGGGAAAAACTGGCAGAAAAGAGAAAGAAGAGACTTAGATGAGAGCTCAAGAATTATGCAGCTAGAGAAGGAAAATGAGAAGTTAAGAAAGGCCATGTAGGAAAATGAGAAACAAATGAAGAATAATCGAGCCCGACTAATAAAGATGGCTAAAGAAAAAGAGTCACTTGAAAGAGAACTACAAGATAATGGCTTACTTAAGGAGTTGGAAGAAGAAGTTGACAACCTTACTCAACTCTTAGAGAGCAAGATGAATGAATTAATTGCCATACAGCGAAGCACAGCTGAAACAATTCAAAATCTCTTGAGTAAGTTGAATGAAGAAAGAGAGGTGTCAATAATGTGGGAGACTTTTTATCATGAGCAGATGAATATGATAAAGAGGTGTGGGGAGCTTATTAATTTTACCACTACCAACATCCCAGAACTCATCAAAGCATTCAAGTGTGCAACAGGCATGATTAGCCTGCTAAATTCGCCTAAAGAGATATTTGAATTTTTCAATTTATGTAACCAAATCATGGGAGAATTGAAGAATGTAATGAAATTTTGATATTATCAAGAATTTGTTACTGAATAAAAGAATATTTTGGCATACGCTTTGATGTTCATTTCTATACCTGTTTTTACGATCATCAATAAGATCTTAGGTTGAATAGGATTCAAGATCCTTTCTATCTAACGATCAACTTTAAGTCTCCCTATAGAGTAACGCATTCTCGAAGGAGATTAGAGGTATTCTATGAACTGAT